GCCATGTTACTTGGAACCCAACTTCATGTTTTGCTAGGTCCTGCCTTTGTAACCCTTTCCTATAGTCAGCGTGAAAGCTCAAGTAGCTAAGGATAATGCTAACAACAGATAGTATATTCTAAAATTGGATGGTATATGCAAAAGGACAGCTTTTTTTCTTCCAAGAAAAGGTTATCTGCTCAGCAGGATGCTGGGACCCATTGGCAGAAACAAATGTTCTGCAGTTTGTACTCTGACTTGCTGTATCTAACCTCTGGCTAAATTACTGAGAGGATTTTCCCTTGTAAGATTTGTCTTATGCATTTTGCACAAGAATTAAATCCCCACCATTTCGCATTGCATTCCACAATCTTTACAAGTGTTTGGTGTCTCCTCTGAGGCACGCAGCACGTTGTGCGCTCCTTTTGCAAGGGGGTCTCTCTGAGGATGTCCGGGCATGGAGTGGGGGGTAAAGAGAAAAGCACAAGCAGGAAGGGCAGGGATTTGGGCAAAACAAAGAGTGACAGACTGCCGAGGGCAGCAAAACAGCCCCAGTGAGAAGTGATGAGAGCCTTGCTGCATGTTGTATACATAAAAACAGTGCTGCCGGCCAAGGCCGGGAGTCGTAGGAAGAGCTGGAGCTGAGGGGAGACGGAGGAAGCAGCCAGTCCCCAGCTGGGCCAGCAGCACTGAGGACTGCCAGGCATGGCCGGACTCATCAGACAGCACAAGGGTGGAGGCCCACAAGCCATTGAAAGCTCCTGCAGCTAGATTTTGCCAACACATCTGACTAATCTGGAGCATGTTCCCAGCTCTGCTATGCTGCAGCGCTGCTTTGCGTGTAGGTACTAACAACATTCAGGAACAGCTCTACTATCCTCTAAAGGCACTGCCAAAAAAACCTACGGAAAAAAGATGGGGTAAAGGCGAGGATGTCCTCACCCCTTCCCAGTTCTTTGTAGTTGCCATACTTCCCTACTGCAAGGTACAAACATTGCTCACATCATGCCAATTCTCCTACTATTCATGCTTCCCAAGCAAGCGTGGAGATCAATCCTTTCTCACCTCTATGATCAATCCTTTCTCACCTCCATGCTGCCTTCTAGCCTCTGCCCTTCAACCCCACCTCAACGCTGACGGGGAGAAAGTGTCATTCCAACACTCATCCAGTACAAGTAATTGCAAAATGTTCAGGGCAACCCTCTCCTCTCCACATCAAGCTTTTACCCATCAAGAGGCCCAGTTATCCTGCTTTCAAATCTCCTTGGAAAAGTTTGAAATGCTTAAGTGGCAAACTAATGTTCAGCATAAAGATGCAAAGGGGAGATATTACGCTCCTGAGGGACACTGCACATTTCCCTTCCAACCCTGGCCTCAGTTGAAGTATTACAATAATGACAGATGAGCTCCTCCAATAAGAGGCTTTCCTTTCCTTGACTTCAGTGCACAATTTTCCAGAGTTTTATGCAACATTTTAATCTCATGTCTTTCAACTCTATATTCTCCTGCTATGTTGCTTATGAAAATGGCATTAATAGAAACAGAAAATCTGTTAAGCAGGGTAAGTGCTGTATTATATGTGAGAGCAAAACAAGCAGCCCCTGGCACTGAGCACCGAAAGGATTCCATTAAACAGAAGGAATACAGTCTTCCAACTGGCAGAGTATTGTTTCCCTTTGTTGACAGTATATAGTATAATGATTATCTACAGCTGGAATGGGGAAGTAGGAATCACATTAAATTTTTAAAATATACTTAGCTATGCAGACCACAGGAATACACAACATTCATACATCGATTATGGCTATGGGATTTTTTTTTTTTTTTAAACAATAGTTATGTATAGGAACTAAGTGCAACTCCCACATCTTCATTAGCAACTGCTTCAGATCATCCAAACTACAGAAAGTGCTGAGAAATCTGAATAAGTACTCTTGTCTGACAGTCTTTTCCCAGAAAAGTTTATCTTTAATTTAAATAAATCTTTAACATTCACTCTTCTGCAATATACAATCTACTTTTTGCTTTGATTAAAAAGTAATTTTTAGTTTCACTAGATTAACATTATTAAAGAGCTACTGTCTAAGAATACTGAATAATAAGGATATCTCAACAAGGAAGAAAACTCCCTGATAAAGTTATTAACTACAGATTAATTTATTTGTGCAAGTGACAGAGACTTACAGGATATTGATAACGACTAGGCAAGTAGTCTATAGGAACCTTGCATATTTATCTTTCACCAATCACCATCTTATCTTTTATATATTAAAAAGAAACTCAGAAATTGATAGTGTGGACAGCTTGCTGACATGAAAATTTCTCCGTGTTTTCTTCACCCTCCTTTTTCTTTACCCATTAATATAACTCAAATGTATTAGTCAGCAACCTTGGTAACACAGGACATTGTCTTCGCAAAGAACTTAGGCCATGGGATTCCAAACCTAAAAGATCCATTCACATAAGAAATAACACTCATCATTAGATACATTTAAAATCAGCTTTGACAGAACAGTAATAGAAAAAGTATGGATATGCATTAGCAAAAGACTTTTTTATATTTTTAAATTCTATTTTCATCACTTAGCTTGTTTTTCATATGTAAAAATAATAAACATGTAGGCAAATATTAACCTTTCTTAAAAACATCCCAGTAAAAAGAATTCAACATCCTGTACAAAGACACCATGTATGTTTAGAAATCAACCAATATATTTTCCAAAAGGAATGGCACAACTTCCCCTTGCCTACATTGTAAAAACCCAGACACTTTTGCTGAAGATCATAAGCTTTTAAAAAGCAAGGTAAGCACGATGGCAGCGTGAGGTAAGAGTCCTCTTGCTTGTCCATAAGGCAAACAATAGGACTGATTAATATTAAGGAGGGTGGGGGAGGAAAGTTAAGAAAGGGAGGGTTGCCAAGAAACTGTCACTATGAAAGTTGACCAGAAAACAAGTTCTACTCTGTGAAAAATTCTGAAGTTTTGGAAATTTAATTTTCCTCCACATCAAGATGAACCATCCACTCCTAAACTGGAGAGCCCATTGGTTAGGGCACAACCCTAATCATCAGCCTACTCATACTGGCAGTACTGAGGCTGTCTCTCAGTCTCTCCTGTTGGAATATTAGATAGATTAAATATTCATTGAGCTTGGTAAACTACAGACCAGCGCTAAAAGCCTACAGTCAGGGAGAACAAGGACTTTCTCTCAATCAAGAAAAGCATCCTGACCATCAAGAGAGCAAGCATGACCTAGCTTCTTACGAACTTGGCTATAGACCAGTTTCTGCATTTTTGGCCCATGGAATAAAGTTGGGGGGGGGGGGTATTCTGTTTTTTTTTCAAACTAGCCCATCAGTTGATGAGTTTCTGTCACAGGTGAGGGTTTCTTAACAGCAGGTACCACAAGCTATTGTGAATGTATCCTGCTGCAAATTTCTCTTTCATTTGATTTGGGGGAACCAAGCCAAAGAAAGTTTCTGTTTAAAAGGAATTATTTTAGTGAAAAGTTTTGATGGGTCAGCATTTTCCAGTAAAAAAAAAAAACACATTTCCTCAGAAAATTCCTGACCAGCTCTAGTCATCACTTTTCAGAGAGGTCACATGTCCATAGAATGGAAATTGCAGTGTACGTGTAAAAGGAGTTCAGAAAAGTGTAGTAGCATAGTGCTTGTATCTCTGTGTCGCCTGCGAGGAATGCCCACAAAAACAAAATCATCACTAAGCAGACTGAGCACAGAAGCTCTGGTGAGATGTTCAGCATCCTACAGAACCACATTCTTACTGTAGGGGGAAAATGACAGGTTTTACTGCACGTGATGCTGCCAGTCTTTTTTTGACTTGCCCACTCAGATCACAAAATACTCCACTTTGAAATCCTACTTCAAAATATTTATTTAACTAGAAAATGTAGTTATGTCTTGGAAACCATCAACATCACTTGCCATACACGTCGCCTGATGCCCTCAGACCTTGCCCCAGGACCCAGACGCTGCGTGTGCCTGCCCTCGCTCTGCCCGCTCCTGGCAGATCCTTTCCCTGAATTGTGGCTGTCTTTTGTTTCTGTCTGTGCAAAGGTCTGACCCTAACAATGTTGGCGGAAGGAAGGAAGGAAGGAAGGAAGGAAAGGTTTGTAGAAACCTTTGCAAACTTTTTTTCCTTAAACGTCTCCCCCGGGGGCCAATAGAAACACAGAGTTAGCGCTTCAGATATCCAGTCCAAGGGGGACACTTCAGGAAAGAAATTCAGCTAAAGAGCTTCCAGCACTTGATTACTTATTGTTTGTTCCTTCTCCCCCTCCGCCTCCCGGATTTCATTGGGAACATCTAATGCAATTACAAGTATTTCAGTCTGGAAATAGCATGTACATGCTGCTGAACTTCAGCAAGGACGTTCCCTTCCAGCAACGTACTATCCTGTGTTTTGGGTATTCCTTGTCAACTTCTATCATTGTACACTTATTCTACCACTTGGAAATTAAGGACACGTTTCCTCATGATCCTGATAACGGCCGGGAGCACCAATGGGCAACGATGAGATTTCCTTCTCCCGCTCTCAGTGTCTCCCGGGCTCCCCGTCCCGAGCGAGCCCCGAGCTCCCCTTCACCCGGCGAGGAGGTGGCGGGAAGCAGCGACCTCTCCGCAAACCACCAAAACGTGCCGTGTCTCCCCGCAAAGCGCTGGCCGCGGACGCCCTGCCGCAGGCAGAGCGC